TCACAACCCTGACATCACGACCTGAACCGAAACCAAGAGTTGGATGCTTAACAGACTGTGCCAGCCAGGGACCCTGAGAATCTAAAACCCTTTAAATCAGAGTTTCCATTTCCATATTTAAAAGGAAAACGAACCAAGAGAAAGCCAGTGCCCTTTTTTATTACAGGACAGAGAATTTCTACAGTAGGTTTCTAGTATACGAAGGATCTGCTCATGTTTGAAAACTTTTACCCCAAATCTCAGACGTTTTAATCACAAAATAAGCTTGCCAAAATAATTCAAGTAAGTGTGTTGGTTTCTGCCATAACCTGTGTTTATGAACTCCTGTTTGGTTTTTTTTTTTAAAGATTTTGTTTATTTGACAGAGAGAAACACAGCGAGAGAGAGAACACAAGCAGAGGGAGGGGGAGAGGGAGAAGTAGGCTTTCCGCCGAGCAGAGAGCCCAATGCGGGGCTCGATCCCAGGACCCTGGGATCATGACCTGAGCCGAAGGCAGACGCTTAACGACTGAGCCACCCAGGCGCCCCTGAACTCCCGTTTTCAATGCATTTTAGCAGCTTTCAAAATCCTTTGTCACAGGGGCTCTTGTCATAGGAATTAGCCAGGTTCTTTTGTATTATAAATGTTAATAAGTGTTAGTAGATGTTAATTAATATATATACATATATATGTATAAATTTCATGCAATTAAATGAATTTGCCTTATGAAAAATTCATCATCTTATACAAAATTTTCTTATTTTGCAAATGGTATCAGCTTACAGATCAGCATTTGATTACCACTAAGTTAGAAGAACCTCTCAGATTCTACTAAACACCCCCCCACACACAGAAATACACATATACATATATTTTGGAAGTTTCTACCAAAAATTAGATACATAGAAAACAGAAGGAAGTAACCAATTAAAATTAAAAGTAGAAATGAAAGTATCAGGAAAGAGAACAGTGAGATAAAACCAAGCTCAATAAGGTAACTAAACATTTACAAAGTCTACGGATAGAATTAAAGAACAAAAAGGTGAATGTAAGGGAGGATGTTATGATGCCAATCAAGATTTTGGCTTGAGAACAAGATACCCTTGACTGAGACATGAACTGTACTTTCCCAGACCAGCTGGGGATGGTGGCGGGCGAACCGGGCCCATGTATTGGCTTAAGGCCACAGCCACGGCTCAGCCCCTGCTGAGTGCTGCCATGAGGAAGTCCTGGCCCAGTGTCGACAGCTCTGATTTCTTGGAGAAGTAGAAACATGGACTTTAAGTGAAATCTCCCAGCTCTTAAATACTACCAACTAATTCACTTTTGAATTTTCTTTGAACCACTTCAAACAAAATACCTGTCTGGACCCCACTCAGCCAGCTCGGGTGGAGCAAGGCAAAAAGAACATCAAGGATAATATCCTGAAAGACAGTCAAGAGAAGAGGTGCAGCCAGAACAGAGCCTAAGGAGGAGGAACCAGCAGAATAGTGTTGTGAATAGCAAGACAGAATTTCAAGGAGCAAGTGGTCCAGTGTCAAATGCAGCAGAGACTTCCAGAGAGATACAAGAACGGGAAAGTGATCACTGGTACCGCTTTTACAGCAATTTCAGTGGAGTGGTGGTATTAAACCCAGGCTGTTGTGGGTATTCTTTGTGAAGCTTAGTAAAAGTGTTTCCTTAATTCACATTAATTCACCAATATCAGAAAAGTTAAAAATTCATTAAAGAATACCATAACCAAACCTGAAAACTCTATTCTGATCAAGAATCTTGACAGCTCAGGGCACCTGGGTAGCTCAGTTGGTTAAGCGGCTGCCTTCGGCTCAGGTCATGATCCTGGAGTCCGGGATCGAGTCCCGCATCGGGCTCCCTGCTCGGCAGGGAGTTTGCTTCTCCCTCTGACCCTCCTCTGTCTCATGTGCTCTCTCTCATTCTCTCTCTCAAATAAATAAATAAAATCTTTAAAAAAAAAAAAAAAGAATCTTGACAGCTCAACTCCAAACAGAATATAAATGTCAAACTTTGAGATAACATATAAGAAGCAAAACTATTAGAATTTTTACCTTATTATCTCAGATTCTTCCTGGGTCTCATAATGGCCTAAAGCTACAGAAAATCTTCTACACTGAATACCAAGGGCAGCAGTGAAATTTCCCCATTCCAGCATCTCAGGCTCTGCTTTGTGAACTACCTTCACGATCCGAAACTTTTCCGATCCAAAACTTTTCCAAAACAAATCGTTAGCCTTTCTATCACCTCTGCTTCCCTTCCAGGTGACACACAGGCAAAAAAAAGAAACAAAACAAAAAACAAAAACAACCCCTCCACATACACAAAACACAGCAAAATAATAACCATTATTTTCATATTGAGCATTTGCTAAAATGCTAGATTCATTATTTGAACTTTCATACTTACTTGTATCATTCTCCTACTAAGGTAAATGTTATTATTCCTATTATTCCTATTTTATAACAAGCAAAGCTCTGAAAGTTTAAATATATGCACAAGTTTAAAACATAAGTGCCAGTCAAGATTTAAATCTAGGTCTAATCCCAAATTCCAGTATTTTCAGTACATATGAAAATCCTTAATGCTCATCAAATATTCCAGCTCTGCCTTCAGGACACATGCATGGCAGGGCTGCACCTCTGGGTACTTTCCTATTTGCGTGAGGCCATATGACAAATTCAAGCCAATGAATGGAAACGAGTGTTTCTTCTGAACCACAAAATCTGTTGGAGTGAAACTCCAGAACACTGTCTCCTAGAAAAGTTTAAGACAGTGACAGCTTAGGTCCCAGGGTATAGACATGGAGCACAGCTCCCAGCCAATTGGCAAAATGTAGCACATATAAGAAATACTCCTTGTTGGAACAGCCACCAAGATTTTTGAGTTGTTACCACAGCCTGACTTAGTCTATCCTGACTGCTACCACCAGTGGTCTCAAAAGTCAAATATCGTCTCATCTCAATGGGTCAGGATACAGTATGAAAATAGAATGGAGTAAGTTAAGGTCCACTGAACTTTTCAAAGGGGGTTCATGTAAAGTCTAGCATTAGGCAATTGCCAAAGTTACAAAAGACAACTCTGCCTAACGTGCCCAATTTTTATTTTTACTGGTTTTCCTTGGAACTTTCCAACCTCATTAGCAAGAAAACTTACGATTTAGTAAGTGGTTCTCTAATGGGGGCGATTTTGTCCCCAAGGAGACATTTAAAATGTCTGGAGGTATTTTTCTTCCTCACATCTCTGGAGTACCACTGGCATTTAGTTGGCAGAGGCCAGCAAAGCTGCTAAGTATCTTATAATGCACAGCACAGCCCTCACAGCAAATCATCCAGCTCAAAATGTCTGTAGTGTCACTGTTGAGAAACTGATAGAGGTGAAGAACGCCTTTCTGATTTCAGCGGGGGAATGTCTGATTCAAAAACAGCAATTTACTTTTTAAAACTAGGTTATTCTTTTTGCTCAGTAAACTCATGCATTGGGTTCTCATTAGTCCTCATGGTGATACTGTATTGCTTAAGATTATAAATAGTAAACAGGAGTTTCCTTTTGTCAAGATAAGGGTAACACAGATAAAAAAAATAAGGAGAAAGATTGTAAGTCATCCCTGTTAATAATTTGTTTCAGTAAGGTATGCTAGTCATCCTGATTATACTGAAATAAGACAGCTATAAACTTCTTCCTGGTCAGCATATTAACAAGATTTGTAGTATTTTCTTGGTTTATATACTTACCTTAAAGGACCTTTATATTTCATAGACTCATTAAAATCGATTGTCCTAATTGATACATGAAGGCTAATTAACTAAGAGTATCAGAAGAAAAAAGAAAGCTCTCTTGGGTTGTTCCTCCCTTAAATCTACCAAAAGACTGAAGAATTCATCAAGGGGTTAGGTAAATTAGAAAGCAGCCCTTTTGTGAGCAAGCACAATGCTAAGTCAATACCTCTCCCTACTCTTAATAGGTCCATTAGTCTAATGACATCTCCTCAGAGTCATAGCCTGTCCTTTCAATTGATCATATGACTGTCAACATTTATGAAGCACTTACTATAGAGGCCAGGAAATGTACTAGATATTTTATTAATAGCCAAAAAGTTCTTGTTTCTAAGCACTTACAGACTAGGGGAAAATAATAACAATAACAATAAATTAAATACAAATAACTAATTACTAGTGTGCAGTTACTAGAAATCAACATGTATGAACTGCGGCACCCAGCCCAGCCTGGATGGGAGTTTGACTAAGTTGGTGCTAATTAAGCTGAGACCAGGATAGTAAGCTAGGTGAAGCTGGTTGGGTGAAATGCTCAACTCCAAATGGCAGCTCAAAGACCTTCAAATAGGAGGGTGAACAATGGTGAACAAGAAATGATACTTCCTACAACTTGCTTTAAAAAAAAAAAAAAAAATCAGAACCCCGAGTTATATTTTTTCTGCATAATGGAAAAAGATTTTGAAAAAAATATAAGACAGGAAAGAAAAATCAATATGTGAAAACATATGGAAAGGAAGAAAAACCATACTCATTTGTTCAATAAAAGTAAAAACATTATGAAATTACCAACTAAATTCTCAGAAACACAAGTGATCTGCTCCTTCAGCTAGTTCATGACAACCCGTACCAAGATAATATATTAGCAATCGTGTACTAGCATTAATTTGCACAAATTTCCTTCTTACTGCTTCAGTCTTGCACACAAGTGCTTGTTTTCCTTCTTCTGTCCATCCATGAGTCTTAGAATATTCTTCAAATTCATTTGCCTTCATTATTCTAAAAGGTTTTAAGCTTCAACCTGATTTCTAAGAGCCACAGCTTAAATGCCTATCACGTTATCTCCCTCTATTCTGTCTGAGACATAATGCTATGCTTAATATATTTATTCCAAATCCCTTAAAGCAAGAATCAGTGACTATTATTCTCAATTATATGTAAGGACAAAATATAGGCTGGATAAAATTCTAAAACAATTTGAGAAGAACAATTAAGAATAACAATTTAAACAACTGTTGATTTAATTCATACATCTTTTATTCTTCTTTTGGCAAACATCAGATAATAGGAGCAAAACTATATTGCTCACTATAGTTATACATTCTTTTTTGCTTTATATAAGTTTGTAAACATATGTTAAGTGGATAAAATTCTTGGCTAAGGACATATTCCAAAACTCTGACATATACTTTTCTGAGTTAGGAGAAAAGAAAGCTTATGAAACTTCCATTAGACCATAATCACACAGCAAACTAAGTTAGTATATGCTGTTTTTAAATTAACATCTGCCATTTTTTAAAGACTTCAATATTTGGTTACAGCTAAAATGATTATCTGAAGTTTTATGAAAAAACAGAAGCTGACCACACAAATCTTACTCATAACCATATTGGACATTTAAAAATAAAAAATAATAAAAATAAAACTATAATCAAGAAAATTCCATTCATCTTATTAGAAAAAAATACCTACCAATAAGTTATTTTAAATATAGATGGCATTTGTAATAACTAGGTTTCATGATATTTGTTTTATTACTTCTCAATGCTTATCTTTTGATTTTAAAGTAACAGATTACTTCATAATAAAGGCAAGACATTTAGCAATTTTATAATTTAACTTTTATAAATTTCAGGCCCCCAAAATTTCAGATCAAGGATTCCAAAACAGTCAGCCTTCAGAACATATTTTGTTTGGCAAACAGAATGGTTTTTCACCTTTTGAACTGGAATACCTTCATGTAGTACTTACTTGTTCTATCTAACCACAGTCCCTACCAGCTTCCCACATTGTCACCAGCTGGGCATGTGAGGCTGACACTCGTTTTTAGTATTATAAAACGCAATATTTACTTAAAAAAATTAGTGCATTCATGGAGGAAAAATTCAAATACTATGAACTTGATGCTAAATCTTAATACTCATTCCTAATTTGGAAAAACTAGATCAAACCAAAAAGGACTCTTTATCTCAGGATCATGAGTTCAAGCCCCATGCTGGGCAGAGAGATTACTTCAAAAATAAAAAATAAAAATAAAATAAAAAAATAAAGACACTAAAAAACTTTTGTAAAAAAAAAAAACAACTGGTGGTCGTAATTCCATTTGGAAGTTTAAGAAACAGCAAGGAGTAACAAGTAAATTAGAGAGACAGTAATCTGACAGGTCTTTATTTGCACACAAATAAAAGGCTAATCTGTAATTCTTTAGAGGTCTGATCTGATAGGGAACACCTATTTACCAATGAATTTGTCTCATTTCTTAAACTTAACTGATTCCCATGTGAATTAGTATTTTAAAATTTTTAGTTATTAAAGCAAGCTTTTTAGCTACACTTTGACAGGCTTATATAAAAAACTTCATAGTACTAATCCCATCAGTACCAAGGTTACTGAAATCAGATTCATTTATAAGCATTAATTAAATTTGCTATCACCATTACCACATATTTTCAAGAAAAAAAGACCGAATCGTTTCATTTCTTCAAGAAGAGTTACATTAAAATGGTTACTGAAAGCTTTTAGTAATAAGGAGAAAAATTTTTTATTTTCAGTGCAGAACAGAATGTTCAGGACCTTATATTAATAAAAATCTAAGCAAATAGGATACTATCTTGGTCTGTAAATGACGTTCTCCACAACGGACTCTAAAATACCAATAAGGAAACACTGGTTAAAGTTTATCTCTGACACATTTTTTAAAAATCTGTGTTAGTAGCTTTGCCATAAAACTGATTTAAGGTAGTTGTGTTTTTCAGTAAGGTTAGAACAATCCAGCACTTGTAAGAATAGTCAGATCGGCACACTGTACTAAAACATAATTATGCAACATTTTGTAAACTAGCTGCAATTTTCAGTAGCTGTGTTCACCAACTGGGTAACAGAATTGTAATGTTCTCCTAAGCCGTATGCATGTCTCATATATCTGAAATGAGAAAAGGAGAAATGAGTAGTTTAGACGAAAGTAATTCATTGTATATAAATGTTTATTATGTATATAAAACCAAACACTCTGAATGAATCACTCCACAGGGGTATCATTCAAAGACTTCATTGACATATTACTTAAAAGTACAACACCATTTGAAAAGCATCAGCAGTCAGTAAAATCTGGTTCAATAACTCTATAAATGAGTTTAAATCAGGGAGTATACAATCACTGGGGGGTAAAGGGAAATACTGAAATGCTGAGTGCTCAATAAGCTTAAATTTTTACCTAAATTTAAGCCATTAATGACTATCTTCGTAGGTTTGGGTAATAAACACTAAAGCCAATAGAAAACTCTCCATGCTGTGTTTCAGAGAATTCTCATTCAGGTAAAATATTTTTACAATATAAAGAAACAATCTCTGGGTGCCTGAGTGGCTCAGTTGTTAAGCGTCTGCTTTCAGCTCAGGTCATGATCCCAGGGTCCTGGGACCAAACCTTCTCCCTCTCCCGCTCCCCGTGCTTGTGTTCCCTCTCTCGCTGTCTCTATCTCTGTCAAATAAATAAATAAAATCTTTAAAAAAAAAAAAAAAAATCTCTAAGGAATAAACAATTAGGCAACGTGAATGTATTTCAGCTTTTACACTTGTTGAAACTTAGCGTCATTCATGTGAAACCAGGACAATATGAAAACTAATGCTAAAATGTGTCACCTTTAGAAATGACTTTATTCTTAACTCATACACAAAAATAAACCACTAGAGGTTCTTAAACAATTATCTAAATCATATATTGACAACGCTTTCTAATTCTATAATTGCCTTTAACATAAAATAGCATAATTAATGCAGCTGAAGATAGATTTTTTTTCTGATTAATCAACATACACAACCTAAAATCTTTGAATAACTCTTTTTGTCTTAAATATGAAAAATGTAACAGTAGAAATTTCCAGGTACTTACACAAGTATTAATGGGTTTTTTGGATATTCTTCACCAACTACAATAGGAGGAGAATCTGCCTGTATTATCTCTATTGGCATTTGCAAAATGTGAGACAAAGCTCTTAGCTAAAGGAAAGAAAATGTGTTAGCAAGGAAAATAAAAAGGTAAGTCTTATTCAAATCATAAACTACTCAGTATGCATGAATAGGGCAATCATCATCCAGCATGGATCTATTCTATTCCTCACTGTACACCAAGAGCCTGCCACATAGTGGACACTTAATACATATTTGTTGAAAAAACAAATACAGTATTTATTAAACCAAATGCAGAAGTTTCAAGTCCTGGCTACGTGACAGCTTTTTAGAAATAGCAGTACCATAGTTAATGAAGTGAGGACAGGGGTAGATTGGACTCATTATACTAATCTATTTTTGAATATTGCATGAAAATTGCTAGTTTTTAAAAATACTATTGCTCAGACACCCGACCAAATCAATTACAATTTGGGAAGGGCTGGGAGGAAGGAGAGAAAGAACAGGGAAGATTAGGAGGTTTGCTTAATTTTTTAAAGCTTTTCTGATGATTCTTTTTTTTTTTTTTAATTTTATTTATTCATGAGAGACAGAGAGAGAGAGACACAGAGGCAGAGGGAGAAGCAGGCTCCCCGCGGAGCAGGGAGTCCGATGCAGGACTTGATCCCACGACCCTGGGATCATGACCTGAGCCGAAGACAGACGCTTAACCAACTGAGCCACCCAGGCGTCCCTTTTCTGATGATTCTAATGTACCAGTGTTGATAACCACTGCTTCATAATTTTCAAGGCATGACTAGAATGAGTTATGTTTAAGAACTGTACTATCCTTTCATGGAATTTCCATCTGATTAATACCTAATGTTAATTTCATATAAAATTAGAGCTTAAAGTCAGATGAATAACAGTGAATAATAAGTATTAGTAGTAACATTGTTTAGATTTACTATGACCAAGCACACTAAGGCACTTTACGTGTATTAATTCGTGCAATCCTCACAATAACCCTATGGGATAGGTGCTACTACTGTTACACATTTTAAAGATCTCTGAAGCAGAGAATGGTTAAGGTGCCTCTCTGTAGTCAAGCACAAGGAAGTAAAATGACCTGCAACTGAACTGAGTAAGTGTGACTCTGGAGTCCAAGTTCATAAATTAATCATTTAACAGTCCTCACTCATGGTGCCCTCATCTATATATTTACCCGATTATAAGAACATTCTGCCTAGAACATGGTCCTTTTAGGAAGGTTTAACAAAGGTAAGAAATTACTTCAAGAATATGGAAAAAATTCTATGCTGCACAACAGCAAACTTAATCCTATGTGATTTCTCAAAGTTCAAGCATCTTTACTCCTAATGTAGTCACAAAGCTGCTATGAACATTTCCTGAGTTTCAGAGACCCAGGAGAGGCATACAAAATGAATGGACATAGTTCCCCCTGGTGGTTCAGAAGAGGTACAAATATTGCACTACTGAGAAAAAGATTTTGAAGAAGCATTCACGCCATTTCTTCCAAAAATACAGTTCTTGAACTGAAATACTTCGAGCCACAAACTATTCAAGATGACTAACCATCACTACATAGTATTAATTACACGCTAGATTCATCCAGCTGGAACTTCAGCTTACGGAGTGCTATGCATGTACTACCTGTCTTATTTAATGTCCACAAATGACCTACCAAGTACACACCCGCATTTAATCAGGAAACTCGAGCTCAGGAGGCTGGCTGACTCCAAGATCACAAAACTGAGACGTGGAGGGAAAGCCAGGACCCAAACCCAGGACTTTCTCTCTCATCCCCTGACTTTCAAATAGTCCAGGCTGCCCCATCACCACTTGGACCAACTAGGTGGGTTATTTTGTTTAATGAAACAAAGTTAACAATAAGATAATTAAAGCTTTAAAAAAAATTCTGATAATTCCCTACAAGTGACTGAACATACTGTTTTCCTATATGTGAATTTTAATGCAGCAGATACTGCTTTGCAGTCAGTATCAACTAGAATTCCAACTGTAATGTACTGTGGTAGGATTTGGCCCATAGTTTCACATAAAAATACGGTTTTCTATTTCTAATGTAATGGACATGTTACTTTACAATAGTGATTTTCATCATCTGAACCACTAGGGTAAATTTTACTGTTCTTGAATAAAATCCTCCTTTCTTAAGTCCAGAAAATCAAATATATTGCCAGGAGCAGCATCACAAACGGAAACACACAAGTACAAGATTAGCCTCACCAACCCAGAGATCAAACACTGGGCTATTTAAAATGAAATACTGCTGGGGCGCCTGGGTGGCTCAGTCGTTAAGCGTCTGCCTTCGGCTCAGGTCATGATCCCAGGGTCCTGGGATGGAGCCCCGCATCGGGCTCCCTGCTCGGTGGGAGGCCTGCTTCTCCCTCTCCCACTCCCCCTGCTTGTGTTCCCTCTCTCTCTGTCTCTGTCAAATAAATAAATAAAATCTTAAAAAAAATAAAATAAAAAAATAAAATGAAATACTGCTTTACTTCCCAAAGATACATACTTAAATCAAAGGCCTAAGAATGTTAACTCCCTATTTCAATGCTTCATCAGTAAAGAAATAGCAAATACATTAAGAAAAGGGATACTCAGAAACTAGGATCAGCTGCAAAATATGTCTGAATACTACATATGGGATTTAGAAATTAAATTTAACAAGCCACAAATACCATGAATAATTACAAACTTACCTCAAGCTGACCTCCCCATGCAGCTGTGTTGACAATATCATCACAGTACTTTGTAAACTCTTCTGTAGAGAAAAATGAGAAGATAGCACTTAATAATTTTCATAACTCATGTTACAAGATCCTTTTTATAGCTCCCACAATTCCTGATCATTACTCAAGTTGTGAACTTACTTCTCCCTCTACCTGCACTCTCTAGAATTTAATCCACTTCCCATATCCAAACTTAACTTGCTCCAACTTTGGACCACCTCTCCATCTGAGAGCAAAGCAATTCATTTCTGCTTCTCTCCCTCAGCCTGAAGCCCAGGCACCTTAACTACATAGCAAGGCTATTCTTCTGTTTACACAGGCAACCCCAATATTACCACCATTCACTACCTTGACACATATTTTAAAGCCCAGACCTCCATCTGAAAAAATACGCAGAACAATTAAAACAGTGCAGCCTTTATAAAATCAGGTCTACTCTAAGACCCCATAAGAAATGTGAGAAGAGAATTAGGGTAAAAGTAGAAATGACCTGAAATTCCTTTCCCAGCAATAGCACCAGAGTGCCTGCACTTGTTATCTCGAAGGCATTTGCCTTATTTGCTTCAGTATCAGTACTAGCCAAAGAAAGGGCTTCCTGGATCAGTCATGAGAGTAGGCAAAGACCTAACTGCAGTTTAATGGCACATCTTGAGCATACACACTTTTATATAGGAAGTTAAAATGGGAAACGAGGGGCGCCTGGATGGCTCAGATGGTTAAGCGTCTGCCTTCGGCTCAGGTCATGATCCCAGGGTCCTGGGATCGAGTCCCGCATCGGGCTCCCTGCTCCTTGGGAGCCTGTTTCTCCCTCTGCTTCTCTCTCTCTCTCTCTCTGTCTCTCATGAATAAATAAATAAAATCTTTAAAAAATAAAAATAAAATAAAATAAAAAATAAAATGGGAAACGAACACCCTCCCTGTTTAGAGGAAGGGAAAAGAATTAAGGGCATCGGGCACCTGGGTGGCTCAGATGGTTAAGCGTCTGCCTTCAGCTCAGGTCATGATCCCAGGGTCCTGGGATCGAGCCCCACATCAGGTTCCTGGCTCAGCGAGGAGCCTGCTTCTCCCTCTCCCTCTGCCTCTCCCACTGCTCATGCTCTCTCTCTCTCTGTATCTCTGTGTCTCAAATGAATAAATAAAATCTTTTAAAAAAAAATTAAAAAAAAAAGAATTAAGGGCATCTATAGAAAATATGTCCTGTGGGTTTGTCTCATCCACTGCTATATCTCCAATGCTCAAAATAGTGCCTAGAATAGTCCCTGGCACATAGTGGCCCTCAATAAATATTGGCGGAATGAGTAAGAAATTAAGTCTTTTATCTTTTTTTAAATTCAGCATGCTGAGTTGCCACCTCTTTTCCACTGCCCTGCAACTAGCAGAGTTGAGGACTCCATTAAAGGAAAGCCAACCTTAACCTTCTCTTCTCCAACCCATCCCGGCCATGTGACTTGCTCCCAAAGGATACTACCACACCTGCAACTTCCCTTAAGAACTAACTCTCCTCTGTTCTATCCCTGACTCCCCCCAAAACTCTCAGATTTTCACCTGCTCTCTCCTTTACTTGCTAGTTGTGCATTTCTTTACACCTCTCCATAAATATCTTACCTTAATTACCAAAGGTATTATAAAGAATAATAAGGCAGGTTATTAACTTATTTGTTTTTGGTTTGGCAAAATCAAATTTTTCCTAAATATTACGGCTTATTGAGAAAATTAAATCTCCCAGTGTACAGGATAAAAGTAGGATTTAGCTTTCCCAATCATTCTGCTTATGGTCTTTGGACCCTATACTTCCATAGACTAGTCAAAGCTTACCTCCCTCTATGCCCAAATTTGTGACATGTGAACTTATAAACCACAATTTTTTTCAGTAATAGTAATCCTATTCCCATTTTTATCTTAAATGAAACATTAAACCACAAAATGGTCAAGTACTTAAAAGATCTTAAAGCAAAATGAACTAGTAACTATTAAAATTATAAAAAAGAATTCTGCCTAAATTTTGAGATTTTTTTTTTCCCTCCATAAAGACTATCACGGGTTTTTCTTATTCTCAATCCCAGGAATCGTTTTATTTAACAGCAGCAACAAGACATAGTAGAAAAAAAAAAAAAAAAAAAGACATAGTGAAGAAAAATAAATTACCTGGAGTATACATATCTCCTGTATTAGGATTTGTTAAAAACGGCAGAAAGTCTTCCACATGGCCTTGTATATACTCAGCAGTTTGACTTCTCAAGGCAGCCACAGTCAAGGGGCATTTCCGTTCTTCCAGCTGATCTTCAATGGCTCTATACATACAATGGCCATCAGATGGAATCTGTTTAATTTCCAACTGTCTAGCTGCCAGTATTTGAGCCAGTTTTTCACTTTCTAGGTGTCTAGCTCCAGTTAAGTTCTCAATTTCAGCTTCAGCTATCCTTTCTTCCCGCTCCTTTTCCAATGCAGCTTTTTTGTCCTAGGATGAGAATACAGGAAAGTTAATTTACAATAATTAGGACTATTTCACATTTATTTAGGGGATAGAAATGTAAGACTCAAAACTTTCTGCCATCTTCCTTCTCCCACAAGCATTATCATATTGATGATCTCATCACTTACAGAATGTTCTATACTATGAACTCCTTTAAGGGCAACTATCTTTCTGATCTACATGTACCCAACACCAAGCTCTGTATTAGGACCAAAAAAAGCCTTCAAATTTTTCTTTGAAGTCTGTTTAAAAACTACATGACAAGTTTCTAAAAACTCTACTTACTGATTTCAAAGTACTGCCTGAAGACTGAGCTATCCTAGGCCTTAAAGCAACATCATTATCATATTTATGCCAAGCTAATCCAAGCTTTTTAACTTATCACTCAACTACTGGGGCATTAACATGTTAAATCACCAGTGAGGCATCAATATGGCAAAGCCTTTAGAAGGGTACGGGAATTCTATTTATCTAGCCTAAAGAAAAAAACTCTGTGTGTACACACACACACACAACATTTACTAAAGCACAGATAAAAAAAATCTTCTTATAAAAAATTAAAATATTACAGATAGACTAAAGTTCCCCTAAGGATCACGGCCAATTTCAGTGCCTGCTCTAGAGGTCTGGTGATTTTTTTTCTAAGCATTTTAACAAATATAGATGTACTCATAAAAAAGTATGGAAAAAAATATTTTGACAAAAAATGATATCACATTACATTCTGCAACATGCTTTTCCTTATTCAAATGTCATAAGAGCTCTTCCTATGGCAACATATGCAAGGATGGTGTAGGGATAGGGCAATGAGATCTGTGACATGAAGGATGGATAGGAAGTAGAATGGGAAGGCTGGGGAAAATAAGAAAAAAAAAAAAAATTCTGACAGTTATACCAGCAAGTATCAAAGCCAAAAGCACTGTATGTTTCATAGCTGAACACGGTTCATATAGCTAGAGTACCATAGAAACATGTCAAGAAATGAGGTTGGGGGCAGAAAAGGTATGTATATTGTTAATATATGTTAAATCTATGCATACATAGTTTAAAAATTAGAGAAATATACACAAAATACAGTGCTTTTCTCTGGATCATAGGATTACAAAATAAGTTGTTTCCCCCCTTCACCTATCCTCCCATCCAAATCCCCTCTAGCAACCACCAGTTTGTTCTCTGTATTTAAAAGTCTGGCTTTTGGGCGCCTGGGTGGCTCAGATGGTTAAGCGTCTGCCTTAGGCTCAGGTCATGATCTCAGGGTCCTGGGATCGAGTCCCGCATCAGGCTCCCTGCTCCTTGGGAGCCTGCTTCTCCCTCTGCCTTTCTCTCTCGCTCTGTCTCTCATGAATAAAAAAAAAAGAAAAAAAAAAAAGAAAATTTTAATAATAAAAAAAAATAAATAAAAAATAAAAGTCTGGCTTTTGTTTACAAAGTAAGTTTTGTTTTGTGTGTGCACACGTGCACACTTTTCTGCATCTTTCTAATTCTCCATCATGAATATGTTTTACTTATATACAGAACATGAATCCTTTTCAATTTAAGAGAATAAAAATAGTTAAGTTGAATTCCACAAATCTTGATATTGGTAGCAAATTACAGTGAAGGATTTGGTAAAAGAAGGAAAAAGTAAAGATTTTCGTGTCCCTAGCTTTCATTCCTCCTTGGGGCAGAAGAAATTAATGGAAAGGCAAATTTCAACTTAATGTCACACACTTGAACTACTTGCCTGTTATGTGCCATGCTGGAACCTAAAGTGATTTGTAAATTACCTGAATAAAAAACAGTATTATCTCCCTAATAAAACATACACCTATTTTTTATTCCACCCGAATCCAACCATGCCAGAAGTAACATGAACAAATTTATTTCACTGCATACCTACAACTATGTATCAGAGCAGCATAAAAACCTTAAAACACAAGATGGCACTGTTACGTTTTGAAAGTCTAAAAAACATTTTCAGAGGGGAGAGGGAGGATAAGCACCTTGGATATCATCTAATCCAAAACCCCTCATTTTCCTCTGAGGAAACAGCACGCAGAAAGATTTCCAAAGGCCATACAGCTGGTTTAGAAGCAGATTGGGACCAAGGACAACACAGAGCACTCCTTCTATCCAGGCACCTAAATCAGAATAAAAGTTGGAGCAGATGGGAGCTGGAGTTAATGATGTTATATGCTAGTTACTAGATGAGTGGAATTTTATACTGTCTGCAAAACCATTTAACCCTCTAAAATACTAATCCAAGCATTTCACTTTTGCCCTCAAGCTCTGCTTCAATGTTACCCAGCAATTGTGTTTTCTTTCCGGGGCACAAGGGGGGAAATTCACTGGATTCTTTTCCCAGCCATGGATAGTTTCCCAATGGCGCTAGGCACTGTGGTTTCTATAGCCCTAGTGCTAGAGACAGAATGGCAACAATTAAGTCTAATGAAAACATATATTTAAGATAAAAACAGCAATTAACTCACAAATATATTGTCAGTAAAACCAGAGTCATTTCAATATAGTAATGTAGCAAAATCATCTCTGAAGAGAAATCTTAAGAGCCGGGTACTAGTCCTGGGTTTGTATCAAACTCAGTTTGCCACTAAGGCAACTGGGCTCACTCATTTGTAAAATAAAGAAATTGAACTAGATCTCATTCCAGCTCCCAAATTTCCTATTTTTGGAACCCAATTCTTCTAAGTTCTACTTTGGGCTCTTCCCAGCATACCAAAAAGCTTCTTCCATTGAAGCCTGCTGAATTAAAAAAATATTCCCTGTGTTTTTCTAGATTTAAAATTAGAGATTTACTCTACAATATTCCAATAATAAATCTTCATAAAGTTCTGTCAGTTTTCTTCTAAGACAGAATTGTATCTCTCCCAAAGATAAACACAATTAATTTATTGGCTTTTCATTCCTTGGAGTCTTTGGCCGGAAAAAAAAAGTTTAGGTTTCATTTTCGTATACACTATAAACTTTCAAGTGTTTTCAGTTCTAGAATCCTATTAATACTATTAATATAACAAAGCAATAAAAAATTTCTGGCATTACTTCTAGGGTGTTTTCTTGCCAAGTGTTTAAGCAGCTGACTATAAAGGATACTAAATTTTTTGAGGGTATAGTTGAAAAGGTATGCATTTCAGCTATGCAGAATTTTAGGAGAAAAGTAACAAGATGTTTGAGAAAAGTAAGGGAGTTTAATTTTTTATTTGTTTTGTTGCCTAAGGGTCCAGCTGGGGTGAGTAAGATTTGATAAAGACAGGAAGGGGTTGGGACCTAGGTTTTCCAGAATTAAATAGGCTACTCTTATAAGATGTATCAATTACTAAGTAGAGGTAATTCCAACAAGTATTTCGTTATGCTCCTGCCAAGCAAAAATTCTGACCTTTGCTTTTGATCTATAGAAGCTAGATGACAACTATAAGGCTCTCACAAAAAGAACACATATAAGCAGGGAGTTAAAATAGATAACCTCCAAGATACTACAAAATCTAAGTTTCATGATTCTATGGAATTCACAAACATAATATTTCCTCAAGAAAATAAAATCTTACATAAGTATGAGAAATGTTTGACAACTTGCAACTTAGTCAACTTTCAAACAACAACAAAAAAGATTCGGTCTTGGGTTGAATTTCTAAGAGGCACACTATGCAGGACTGAACACAGTAAACAATACTACCATGTGCTGACCCACTGGTTCTCCAGGCCTTGTGTTAGGGCTTTGGAAATAGTACATTATTTAATATTTACAATAACTCTATAAAGTAGGTATTATTTACCCCATTTTGTACATATGAAACTGAGGTTTAAAAAAGTTAAGAATCTTACCCAAAGCTACAATAGTAAGTGGGATATTAAAACCTTCACATGTCTGACACCAAATACCATGCCCTATTAAATTATGTACTACTAAATTACAAAATGCTAAATTAGCTTAAAAACAAACACTTAAATACTATAAAACATCAAATGTTAATAAAACAGTATTTGAGACTAAACATACTAGATTTAAACCCCTTTTTCTTTTTCCAAGTGAACAGCCCTTACCTATCTAATTTCATTCCCATAACTTTGATTTCATGAACTCACTACTTCCAACAAATCAGTTTCCTTATAGCTCTCTGATGATGCAAAATTTCATGCCCACATTTATTTTTATGCATGAGGTTTCTCCTACTCAAATATCCTATCTAATTAACTGTACTTTCTTAAAATTCCAACTCATTATATAATACTTGGCACAAATGAACTTTTCCTTCTCTGAATTTTCACTGCAACTAACCATCACGTAGATACCTGCATAATACTGAGAATTCTGTACACCTGTGTATCTTGCTTAATTTCTAGATTCAAATCCTTGTTTCACCACTTAACACCAGTTTTCAACCAAAAGAGAATCACCTGGGCCCACAATGTGAAGATTCTAAATTATTAAGTAAATATCCTTCGCACACTCCCTTCCTATCCCTACTCTCTATGAGACCCAGAAACTGTACATGTTATTTTATACTGTTTAGACCTATTTTCTTCTCTTCAAAATGAGGATAAGAATCTACTTCACAGGATTATAATCAGGACTAAATGAGATTTCATATAATCTATAAGCCTAGCATTGTATCTGGCACATACTAAGTTTTTAATAAATGTTAGTTCAGGTATTTGACAAGAAATTCCATCATTTTTTTTCCTATTCCCTTCGTTTACGTATACAACACCTAAGATAGTAAGCATATAGCACTAACTTAATTACTTGGTGACATGACATTCATACCCGTCTCTTTTGTGCTTTTGATATCCGAGGTGGCTGATTCTCAAGAACCAAGTTTGAAATGTTAACAGCAACAGAATCTATCTGAAGGAAACAAAAGCATTACCAAGTTAATGAAAAATACTTTTAAGTTATTATTCAAAGTATTAGATTATTAAATTATTGAAAATCACACAAAAAAAGAAAATCACAGGTATGTGTAATACAACAATTCAAATTTGAATAACAGCACTAGGTACAATATTACATGAAGTGGTTTTGTCTCCTTTTTAAATTTTTAAGGGAGAATTCACCAGATTCCCAAAAAGTTTCCTTAGAGCTCTCCAAAGATAACGCTCATCCCTGCGGGCTTTCCTTCCTTGAAATTCCTATTCCGTTAATCTAAATACTTCCTATAATTATAGTGTCAACTCATTCAGCAGTTCACCCTTCCCTTCTCTAAATGCTGAGAGTACTTATAGGATATATGAGATCCTGTGTTGAGGTGCCTGAGTGGCTGTTAGTTAAGTGTCAGCCTCTTGATTTCGGCTCAGGTCATGATACCAGGTTCCACACTCAGCGGGGAGTCTGCCTGTCCCTCCCCCTCTGCTCCTCCCTCTGTGTGCATGATGCCCACGCTCCTGCTCTCTCTCTTTCTTAAATAAATAAATAAAATCTTAAAAAAAGAAAAAATAAGGTCTTGTGCTGGATTCATTACCGCCTTCATAATCTCAAATGCGGCAGGAAAGGCCTTTTCCCATCTCAATTAGCCAGAACCTGATGAACACTGTTGAGCTTTCTCTATCCTCTCCCATCTACAAACTGATAACTACAGGTAGAAAAGTTAATGTATTGTTTAGATATCACAACAAATCTTAATCATCAAATGGCTATTATGTGTTTGCTGAAGTAAGAAGAAATATGCTAGACTAACGATCAGGATTAGTACTAGTATTTTATTACTGCAAATGTAACTTAAACTAGTTTTTAGTAGGACACATGCATAAAGCATATAAAGGCCTCTCACAACAAAAGAGATAGCAGGCTCCAAGGCTATAACCAAATTATCAAAATATCAAAACCAAACTAAGACTTCAGAGAGTGGTTACATCAACTTTAATAAAATTAGTATCCTTATATTTTTCAGAGGAATCTGCTAAAATCTACAAACTGCCATACTGACAAGAGGCAAGATACAGAGAAGCATCTGGAAAGAAATGACATGAGAATTCAGATAGTGTCCAGAAATAAAACAAGCTTAAGTTAATGAAAAAGATCATAGGTCAAAGTAAAATGGGAGTTTGTATTTTAACAGTTGAACAATATGTAGCTTAAGAATCAAACATTTTTGTCCTTGGAAACCTAGGAAAGAGATCTCAAAATTGAAAATTGGAGAGCAAATAAAACTATCTCATTAATAGAAAAGATGGGGAGATAATCAGGAATACCATGATTGTGACAACACAAACAACTGGAGCATAACACCTTGCCACTTGGAAATAAAATATGTTAAGTCATGGAAGGCCAGGATCTTAACTAACGACTAGCTAATAAGGCTAAAGAAGATGAGATTATGTTTCATATAAAGACCACTGTAAATCAGTACAGACAAGCTGTTTTCTTGTCAACAGCAGACCAAAAATAAACCAAGTAAAACTAAGTTATGGTAGATAAAATTTTGTATAGCCATAAGAACTTTCTATCAAAAATGGAGTAAGATTATGGAGCCTGTGATCCTTGATATCCAAAATCATGTGATAAACTACCATACCACACTAAATCATAACAGAATTATGATTCACATCTTGGAGTAAGACAGTCCTGATTTTGACTTCTGGCTTTGGCATTTAATAGCTGGTATGAATTCAGAAGGAAATTCTTAGTCCCTGAGTCTATTTCTGTCTTGAAAAATGGAATTATCTACATTTACTTCATGGGTAATACCTCATAGTGTGTTACTATGAAAATTACATGAGAATAATGCACATATGTTAAAGTGTTTGGCACACACAATATCTATTAGCTACAATGATAAAATAAGTATTAGTTAAAACGATGACAGTATGCTCTAATTTACCCAGGAAACAAAAGTAAATTTTCATTCATTACAACTTGTTCATAAAGCACATTTTATAACCTGAACATGATTTCATATTTGCTGTCCCACTCGATTCTTACAGAATCTTGTGCTTAAACAGCAGAAGTATTTGTATCATATTATATGTGAAGAATTTTATGCTCAGGAAATTTAAGTAACTTTACCAAAGTTACAATACTATTTAATGGCAATTCTGGGTCTAGAAGTCTGATCTTCCAACTTCCACTTGGTGAAGCTTCCTCTGGTCCACTTTATCATTATGTTCATTTTGGGGGCAAGTACATAGTTGAAGTGTACTTTTTTTGCTGACCTCCCTTACACATTACCAAGTAAACCTGGTCACAGAAATATTAATGAAAGGTGATGCATGAGCATGATTTTGTGACTTCCTTTCCCTCTAATTTTATGATTTCATATAGTGAACAGTTTATTAGAGGTGGACAGTTGCTTTCAAAAGCTGTAGGCAAAAAGAAACAACACTTCACATACTTTACTTTCCTTAGAATTCAGCTTCACTTGCTCCAGTTCTTCTTTATGTTTCTGTTCCATTTCTGCTTCCAACTTAGCAACATCTTCAGTGAGTTGCTTCCTCCTCTTTTTGTCATTCTTGGGAACAGCATTCTTCATACCCTGAATTTTGGCTGAAAATCCACCAAAAATCATTAAGTCAACAACCCAGAGATTAAGAGGAAATGACAAATAGGGGCAATAAGGGGATGATAAGAGGAGAAGTGTATAGACAAGTAATGATGTAAGCCAAGAAGAGTAATTACATAACAATCAGACATTTACAGAGAAGAACCCAGATGAAGGAGAGACAAAACAAACAAAAAAACCTCATTAACAAAAACGTACGTCTGTTTGGTGTGATAGGAGGAGGGGGAAAAAATGACTCTGAGTTTTAAATCTCTCAAGCATCCCTTCTGAGTCCTCAAAACTGAGGTATTTCAAAACGCGTCCATTAGCGCCCAGTATCAGTAACTGATTAGGAACAGGAAAGGGAGACGGGAGGGGGAGAACAATCTGGGCCCAACACGAAATTCTCAGACACCAGCACCGGCTGTGGCGTGGGGTAGTGGGGACGCGGTGGACCTGAGAAAAGGAAGCTTCTAAAAATCTGGCGGATTAAGGGACCACCGGGGCAGGGGATTAGGAGGGGTGAGGCCACTGGCTACTTTGGGAAAGTCTAGGAGGATGCAGATCAGAAGCCTCTCGAGATTCCCTAGAACCGACCCGCCACGCGCCCTTTCCTGGATCTGAGAGATTTCTAGGTTCCCATTCCTTCGTCACCTTGCAACTCTTTCTTCTCTTTGCGATGCCTTCTCACCAGCTGCTCCTCCTCATCAAGCTCCTCCGCCAAGATTGCCTCCATGACGACCAGGTGGCCCTGCACATGCGCTGGTAGAAACCTACATCACCGACTACCAGGCGCTTTCCACCCCTCAACCTTCACCTGGGGTTCCATTGGCCGTGGCTGGGACCCAGTCCCGCCTTCGAGGCGGTACCAGATCTAAGCCGAGTCATTGGACCCAAGGGTCAGGAGATGGAATGGACGCATGCGCACTCCCATGACCCCGCTCTGATGAGGCGGGGCGGCGGGGGAGGAGCACGACAATGCGTGGGGGTGTGGCTTGGGTCGCTGGAGTTTGCTGCCTCCCGATTGGCTAGCGCGCTATAGCTCCCCAGCAATAAAGCTAAGCATCAGGCTATTGGCTCTGACGTGAGGCGAGCAGTGATGACGTGCGGGAGCCATTTTGGACGTTCATTTTCTTTTGTAAGGGGCTTCGGAAGGCTGTCTTTAATCTTTACTTTTGGTCCCATTGCCAAGAAGAGTTGTTCGAAAGGTAAGCAAGAAGAGAACATTTCAATAAACCTGTTAATAATTACCAATGGGAATCTTTGGGCTGACTCGGTCAAGCGGTAGAGAATTAAGTTTTGTTTATTGTTTTAAAGGTCGTTAATACCTGAGTTCGGAAGAAACAGCTTATAATCGAGAAAATGCCGCCTCTTGAAACGGATATAGCAGTGGAAACCGAAGAGAGAGTAAGGTTTGATCGTATAATACAGGAGCTTAAAGATCTGTGCTCATTGATAAAGAGGCTAATGTCAGAGCGCTTGGAAAGTATCAAGGAGAGAGCGCTAACAAATGTGCAAGCCTGATCGGTCACAAAATCGAATTACCGAAGTAAATGTAAAACAAGAGAAACCTGCAGAAAAAAAGGAAAAATAAATAGAAGAAGAGAAATCTACAGGATCGGTTCAGGAGATACAATCTACACATAATAGGAATACCTGAAACGGGAAAGCAAATGAAGCTGAAACAATAAGGACCTAATTGAAGAAAATATTCCAGATTCGAAAAACGAACTCAATCTGCAAATAGAAAAAGTTCATAGAGTACCAGTAAAACAACGAAAAGAAAGCAACACCTAGACATATCCTAGTGACATCTTTAAACTGGAAGGATAAAGAAAAAAATTCTCCCAAGTATTCAGAGAAAGCAGGTTACCTGTAAAGGGGTAAAAGTCAGACTGACGCCATTTTTCTCTTGCAACTGTAAATGCCGAAAGGCAAGGGGGCAGTATCTACAGTTTTAAGGGAAAATGATTTTGAACTAAGAGTTACATATCCTGCCAAGTTATCGTTTCTAAATGAAGGCAACTGGCAGACATTCGTAGATATGCAGCGGTTAAGAAAGTATATCAGCCAAATACCATTCTTGAAAAATTTGCTAAATGCTGTTACTGCAGCGCACAAAAACAAGAGTAGTGAGGCAATTGTATTAAAAAAAAAATGGCGGGTAAGCATTAAAGCTAGTTAGGTATCATTAAAGATTAAATTGTTATATGTAGGGTTATAAAACTAAATGCAAAGATAAATTCTTCAGTTGGGTCTAAAATTTCAGTTTGTCTTGTTTTAAACCGAAAAGGTGTGCTAAATGTTCAATGTAGACAATAAGTACTGTTTTTAGTATGTAATGTGGATAAAGATATGCATGCTCTTCAGCTAAACAAATAAAAGGGCTTTGTTACTGTGGTGGACAGGACACCTAGAGTAAAGGCATTCCAAGTGTTAATCTCATAAAATGGGAAATTGGTACAGTATTGTGCCCTTTATTTTTAATTGTAGAGGGTGGGGAAAGTAATTTCCAAATCCCTGACTGGGGAGGTGGTAGATGAAAACCTTGTTTTATGTACATCTTGCCTAGGGAAAATCAGTAGTAACCACTTCATGTAGTAGTTCATTCTAAGTAAATTTGACATTGAGATAAGTGTTACAGATAAAATTGGAGAGGAAATGGTGAAAAAACAAAAACAGCAAGGAAACATTAAAATTAGCATAAAATAGATTAACAGATCACACTCATAAACAGGCTAAATATCCCTGTTAAAAAGATTCAAATTGGGTCAAAAATCAGTCTCTGAATCTGGAGTTCACATTTGTATAAAACAAAGGATAAAGGAATTTAAAGATAATGAAAACTATTAAGGCATAGAAATTGAGATAGGGAGCAACATTTCTATGAGAATTCTTTTTTTCCCCCATGGTACCTCCACACCCATTTTTTTTTTATCAGAATTTAAGCTATAACAAAGTATAAAACTGTAGGATGTAGCATTTAAGAAGCTTCATGTGGTAAATAACATGGCATTCATCTGTAAAATGTTCAATATCTTGATGTGAGTGGTAGTTTTACTGCTGTATATATAGTTTTTAAGTGCATTCTAAAATAAAGTAATTCTTAATTCAAATACATGTGGCAATACATATGTTGGAGACTGACTTCACTTACAGTCTTTAGTAAAGTAAATGAAAAGGGATAGACTGATTAGGAGGGGTGTGAATGTGTGTATAATATGTATTACTTTGCTACTTCATTTGCATTCTTTTCAAACTATCCTGAAACATTTCTAAATGATCTTGTGCTAGGATACAGAGAGAACTTTAATTTATGAGCACATTGCACAAATGACTACATTGCAAGAAAGCCTAGAAACTAAGTTTAAAAGCTGAAAAATCATATTCTTGGAATTTTGGAATGTTCTCAACTTGGGTCAAAGAGAAAATTGTAACGAACACTTATAATTTAGGAAATGCTACAATAAGGATGTTATACATTATATGTTATGGAATGGGTGTACAAAAGGCAAGGAACAGGGAATGAAAACAGGTGAAGAATGGAATATGCACCTAAGATAGACTTAGTAACAGGAGTTTGTAAATTTTGTTACCTTCCAATCCTAAGTAGTGGATATTCTCCAATATAAGCTATTTAAGTGCCACAATTAACATCTTGGTGACAGATTTCTCCCAAATGAGTTTTAACTTAAGTTCTAAAAGCTCATTTCAAAGAAGGAGAAGCCAAAGTCTTTTCTCAGCACCACAGCCCCCACATTCACATACACAGGTTTCGTCTCTTTCTTAGACCTCATATAATATTTCTTGCGGTATGGTTTTTATATTGAAATTATGGTCCTCAGAAAAGCAATATCAGCATTGCCTGGGAGCTTGTTAGAAATGTACTCAGGTTAATAGCATCATGGGATTAGATTATAAAATATATTAAGCCCCTCTATAAACTTTCTCACTGAACATAATGCATTGTACATTATGAATGCTTAATAAGTGTTAAATAGTATTAGAATCTAGAAACAGTTTTGCCGAAGCAGTGTTATTGTATAAAAGTTTTTGCATTTGAATTGGAAGTCACATTTTCCAAATATTTCAGGGCAAGATTGGTACTTCTGTTTTCCTTCTGTCTTGAAAATTTATAAAGTTAGGACACAAGGAAAATTTCAAGTTGAACAATCCAAATGAAGAAATGTTGAAGGAGTACAACTTAAAATAGTAAATAAAGAATGAGCCTCTCAAATAACAATATAATAGGTCTCTCTAGTGAATAAGATAACCTTGCGGTGGATTTAAATTCAAGTCATGTGCAGAGAGTTCAAGGTTTTTGGAGGAAATCAAAGATTATAAAAGCTGTAAAAGGCCTTCATTAGCTAGAATTGGTGACAAATGATAAATAGGAATATTAGCAATAATTGGAACAGCAGCTCCAGTAAATTACAGACAGGACTTACATTGGATTCTCCAATGTTGTACTCCCCTGAAGGTGATAACATTCTTGTATTAGTAAGGATGGGCTAGAATTTGCAAACCAGTTGCCTGAAGATACATTAAGATGCAGATAATAGGGCGCCTGGGTGGCTCAGTTGGTTAAACGACTGCCTTCGGCTCAGGTCATGATCCTGGAGTCCTGGGATCGAGTCCCGCATCGGACTCCCTGCTCAGCAGGGAGTCTGCTTCTCCCTCTGACCTTCCTCCTTCTCATGGTCTCTGTCTCTCATTCTCTCTCTCTCAAATAAATAAATAAATAAATAAATAAAATCTTTAAAAAAAAAAAGATGCAGATAATAATACAACATTTGGGGTAAAGCTGAGATTCTGTATTTCTTAAAAGCGCCCATGTGTTGATGCTGCCAGTCTGGATACATAACACACTTTAAAGTAGAAAAATAAAATCTTCACTGTGTCTATTAACCATGAAAGTGAGGCTCAAAAAGTAATTGGCTTAAGGCCGCATAGTAAATATCAGAACCAAATCTGATTTCAAGGCTCTAATTTTGTCATCTATGTAATCCTACCTCATCCACACTACAGCACCTACTTAGAAGATTGTTGTGAGGATAAACTTCTGGTTTATATGATAAGGAAGAAAACTCATTACTTCAGTTAAGGTACATACGCAGAAAAGAATGGCTTATGGAGGGAAAAAATGAGTTTTGTTTGTAACATACTGATCATGATTTGTGACAGGAAAATTTGTGGATAAGTCAGACAGGTATTTGGAAATTCAGGTCTAGAGCCAGAAGAGATGTCAAGATTGGAAATTTAGGTTTGAGTTTTTTTATTTGAAGATGGTATTTGAGGCCATGAGAAACCACCCTGGAAAGGATGATAAGAAATAGAAGGGAAAAGGAAAGGAGATTAAACCATAAGGGACACCTGTATTTGATGGGTAGGTATTACAGAGGAATAGAAGATTTGAGATTTATAGTTCCAGTTGAATTTAACATCAAAAACAATGCACACTATTGTCAGCCCTATACTTGGCGATGAGTAATATGGAGTATGGGGCTTTTATCTTTGTACCAAAATTGTTTTTAATTTGTAATTTTAAAACTTTTAAAAATATAATGGCACACTCATTGTTCTGAATATTCTAATTTGTAGTTCACTGCAACATAGTTGATTCTTGTGACTAGTAGTTATTTCTATAAAGTCACTGAATTAACAAATACTGTATCATTGCATCTGGGGGAAGGATAGGATTAGGTTCCCGTGAACCTCTGGTCACATTATTTTCATCAACTGATCAGTACATAGCCTTGTTTTAAGATACTTTAATATCTGTTGTTCGTTCACCAACTTTAAACTCATAGCCAACAGCACTGTAGTACATGGCCTGAACAAATCTTACCTAACATATTTTCTCTGTAAGGCACATCAGAGTCTTCTTGTACTTAGGAACAAGCACTACCCAGCCGTATTCTTGGATCATTTTAACAGCAAAATCACCAAGAAAAAGCAGAAAAATGCTAAAAACACACTAAATACATAATGAAAAGGGCACTTGTTTGCAGCATGAGAGCTGAGACAAGACTGTCACCTTGTCTCACTTCATCTGAGCCCATACATGTCAGATGACAAATTCGTCTGCACATGTACATGCCCATGAAAGCACCGTAAGTATTGATTCGGGGGTTTACTAATAAATTTTACAAATTAACAAAACAAATTAACATGTAACCTGCAAAACATGAATATGGACTATAATTCAACGTTTATGTTAAGTATTTCCAACTGGAATTGGGAAGCCGTATTTACACGAAAAGCCAAAGAATGCAGCTTTGAGGGGGTACAACACTGATGACTCCCACAGAATTAAGGATCACTGCAATGGTCCTGAAAGACTTGCACATGATCACCATGAACACAATGGTTTTTGCTTCTTTCCTTTCTGTTGGCACTGAGCCAGCAAGTCTGGATTCCTAGCAGCTGTTATTTTGCTGTTTTGTCTGGTACAGCAAGAGGAGAATGTTTCCAATATGGAACAGAGCCAGGTTGAGATCTAGACTATCTGTCCCAAATATTAATTTCAAAGAATTCTAAAAAAGACTAAATGGTGGTATAAATCTATATGCCAAAAAAGTACAGAAAAATTGAGGGTTTGTGTTTTTTGCTTGACCAGATTGCATAATTAAGTGATACCATGCAATCAATTATGAAATGAGATTGATATTCAAGGGTCACACACCCAGCTGCAAAGCTCATAAGGGTTAGTACACTGCTGAAGGAAATTGGGCCTTGGTTTGTTTTGTTTTGTTTTTTAAGATTCATTTTCGTGAGAGAAAGCAGGAGCAGGGGGAGGGGCAGAGGGAGAGAGAATCTCAAGCAGACTCCCCATAGAGCGCACAGCCCAATGCAGGGCTCAATCCCACAACCCCGAGATCATGCATGACCTGAGCCAAAACCAAGAGTTAGACGCTCAACTGACTGAGCCACCCAGGCTCCCCTGGGTTAGTTTTAATTAATCGGCAATTTTAAGCCTCTCATCCTGAAAGCTCATAGTAATAATAACAAAGAAAACAGTGTATGTCTTAGTCTTAGGTGGCCATAAAATACCACAGGCTGGGTGTCTTAACAGATTTATTTCTCAGAGTTCTCAAGACTGTGAAGTCCAAGATCCAGGTGCCAGCCAACTCCATTTCTGATGAGAGATCTTCCTGGCCTGTAGATACCTGCCTTCTCACCATCCCTCCACTTGGCAGAAAGAGAGGGAGGGAGAGAGGGAGGCAGAGAGAGCATGCTCTCTGGTGTCTTATAAGGACACTAATTGTATTGGGTTAGGGTTCTACCCATATGACCTCGTTTAACCTTAATCACGTCTTTATTCCAAATACAGCCCCCCAACATATGAATTTTTGTGTGTTGGGGGGGCACAATTCCGTCTTTAGTAATATGGGAAGGCAATACAATTTAATGCAGGCTAAAATAACTGCTAGTTTACTGACACTGAGCTTTTAGGCAGCAGCCTATCTTAGTTGTTATGTGCTAAATGTTTTATAATTATAAAAATGTGGAATGGAAACTTGAAATTTTGAGTGTAAGAGTTTTTTGGTTTCTGAAAAAAAATTTTAACTGGACTTCTATATTGTTTTCTCTCAAGAATTGCAAGTATTAAATTTATTTTCATAATATGGCTGCTATGATTGCTAAAATGGATACTGGGGTTTTTATAAAGTCCTTTTGTATATTACTCTCTTGTTTAAACCTCAAGCAATTCAATAAGATAGGGAAAAAAAACTATTACCATTATTAAGTGTCTATTAGAGACAAAGTAAGGTCCGAGAGGTTTGAAATGGAGCAAACAGTATAATAGTAAAGAAATGATCAATAAATGTATTTCAGTGTGATTAACTTACTAGCATTTTTTGAACATGGCTTAATAATTCATAGCAAACCCATCAACTTCACTTCTAGAAGTTTATCCTGGAAATACAATAGAAAAGTATGCAAAATTTATAATATTGAAAAAAAATAGGGAATGATGTGTACGTTCAGATATAAGGGCTTAGTTAAATACATTAACAGGTAACCACTAGGAAAGAGTAAGCTCTGTATTAACTGATATGGAAAACACCTAATGACATGTAGTAAGAAAAAAAAAGCCAGTTAACAGCAAATA